ATTCATTTATAGCTTAGTGTGGATGAGGTTTTCCAGACTCATTCCAGATAATAAGAATTAAGAATGTGGAGAGAAGAGATTACCAGAAACCTTTGGACCCTGAGGAGGCAGGGGAAATAACACCAAAGGTAGGAAAATTGAAGAAAGAGAACAATGACAAGAGCCACTTCACCTGCATCACAATTTTGCTGAGAGCCAGTTTTACATGTGTACACAAAAAGACATTCGGGCTATACCCTGCTTTGTTAAATAAATTTGTGGCTATTTCAGCTAAGCCACATAATTCCCACTACCACACAAAACACCCTGATATTTGAGGAGAAAATGGTATTTTTTAAAAAAGACACCAATGGAATGAGTCCTGGATTTTTTTTTTTAACTAAAAGTCAGATGATTAATTTATGTCCAGATATGAAAACTTCTAATAGCTTGAAAGAATTTTTAAAAACAAAATGTCAAAAAGCTACCAGCTTGAGTTGATACCAGTATCGTTGACTCTTTCTAAACGAAAACTAAACACTTTAAAAAAGAGAGAGAAAGAGAATTCCAAAACCAAGGTCTAAATTTACATGAGAGTGTGCCAGATTTTAGCTCAGCTAACGATAAAGAAAACTCTCAAGTAATTAACATGAAATCCCAATGTCTATCCAACTCTAAATTCTCTCTGATTGGAGAAGGGCCAGTGATTTCTAATAACCTAAGAAGTGGGATTCATATTTCTTTTCTATACACTTTCTATTAAGACAACTAATTGTGTGAAAGTCCCATTTCAGAAAGTTAACACTTTGGAATTCCCAGTTTAGCAGTAATACCAATCATGCCATGAGCTTATTAAAGACAGGTACTGCTGCCTCTTGGAATTACGATTAGCTAAGTATTACTTAATGAAGGGCTCTGATGATAGGCTAGAAATGAGGATTGTATTTTAAAAGGCTATATATTTTTTTCAAAAACTTCGCTTCCCTTATTTAAGCCGCCAGAGGTCCATGGTCTATGTGCAGTCTTGTGGATTATTCTGCTATCACTAAACAATTGACCAACTCCCCATTTACCAGGGCCAGTCTGTCGCCAAGTCCTTTTACCCATTGTTTCAAAACGTACTTTGAATCCAGTCCTCTCATTTCTTTCTCTAATCTAGGTTCTCATTGCTTTGTCTCTATATCATTATAAAAAGCCTCTTCCATTTTCTCATCTCTCCACATTCCAGGCTATTCTGCCAAATTTTTAAAAGTTTCATCATTTTGCTTAAGGACTTTTGACACTCTATTGCTTCTTACTGATCAAGTCCAAATTCTTTTGCTGAACTTTTGTGATTGACTTGGTAACTCCAGCCTACTGCTATCTAAACAGGTGCTCTAGGTAACCTCCACCACAATGCCTGGCTCAAAGCAGGGCTTAGTAGACACCATGTTACTATTCCACCATTCAGACCTCTGCTCCAATAGAGTTTTTAGTATTTTCTGAACACATCATGCTCTGACTCCTAGATTTTGTTCATGTTTTCTGTTTGGAGTGAAAAGAAAGAAAACTGGTTAAAAGATATGAATCCACCTTTTCTGTACCTGAGTCCCAGAAATGAGACCTTTCCTGTATTGCCCCTATATACCCTACCTGCCTTCAAGCCCACTCTGACTATCACCTCTTCCTAGAAGCTGTTACCAACTGCTCTGGGTGGCACAGACGTTTTTCGCAGTCTCTTTGCCCTATGAAGTTCATGGGAAAGATCATGCTGTTCCCCTGTTTTGCACATCGCTTCACTCATCCACCACCTTTGGCGGAATGCTGGAAACACAGAAACCCAGTAAAGGTCAGCTAATTGAACAGAGGAAGAAATAGGACACCCACAATCTGCTAACTGGATAACTAGTCCTTAAATAGTTACAGGTCAGTTACATTATAAAAGCCACCCTGACATCAAGCAGAAGTGCGATATATAGGTGGGACACCCAACTCCTTAGTGGTTTACATGTGCCTTAGTACTCCGCAATCAATTATTAATATCATAACTACAGGGATAAATTGAATGCTTAATTTGTATCAAGCACTTTGGTAATACTTTACCTATAAAGTGTCATTTCAATCTTTTACTGCAATCCTGTGAGTTACTACTATGCACATCTTTATGGGAAACTGAATTTTAGCAATGCTGAATACCTCATCCAAGATTATACAAATAGTGATGGAGATGGGTCTGAAATCATACCTCTCTGACTCCAAAGCCCTGTGTCCTTAACCACGACATCTCAGGAATATATAGTCCTAAAACGACTAGAGGAAATGAGCATTAGACCAGGCTTATAAGAAATGACCATGTGAACATTTACAAGCAAAGATATCTCCTTTTCTGAGGGACTCTGCTTATTCATCAACAATAAATCCAGCAATATGAAATTACTCCCCAAAAGCCCTCCTTAGTTTCCTCATTTACTGTGAAAGTCTAGGATGTTTTCCCCCTAAATGTGTGGTCTGCAGGCCACATATACTGGAATTCAAAAGGCATGCACAGCTTGTGTGATGGCAAGTGTTGCTCTGGGTGACACTCCACATGCTCCTCATTCAAGAATTCAGAAGGAGTGTCCTCAGATATCTGCAAAGTGCTTTTTGTGTACTCACAATCTCACGTGTGTGCAAAAATACAGAGTCCTGGGTCCTGACTATTCCATGAAATCTTGCATTTGTGATCTTAGAAAAGTAATGATGTCAGGTGGTACAAAGGCAATTTACGTAACCAAATCATTTGTACCCCCATAATACTCCAAAATAAAAAAGAAAAGAAAAAAAAGGAAAGTAATGGGTTTCCTGAATCGGAATATACAGGAGTGGGGCCTTGGAACATGTGTGGGTGCTCGCAGATGATTATTTTAATCAGACAAGGTTGGGAAACAATGAACCCCAGCTCCTGCCTTAGATTCTCCAAATGGGTGCACTTTCTATAGTTATAGAGACACACTGATCATAAGATAAAAATAATTAATTTTGGTAGATTTTTCATAAGCCTTCATAAGCATCTTCTTGTGGGGCTTGAGAGTAAGAATTATTTAAAATAAATTATAGCCCCTTTTGAAGCTACCTATTAAAAATAATGAATTTCAAAAGGTGCATTCTTGAGACATTGGAAAGAGAAGAGAAAGAGACTGGAACAAGTCAATCTAAACTGATAGATGAAAAACACATGTGAGCTCCCAGTCAGGTACCGAGAGTGTTCAAAGGATGGTAGCAAATTAATTACAAGTTGTTCATCTTGTACTTCATGAAAGAATCTATTCATGCAGCCCAAAGATGGAGATCCACCACTCTATGGCTGTTTTCTGTGCGTAAATTCTGTTAAAATGTTGACAAGGGAACGGTACATTTATTTGGTCCAAAATTACGATGTACTGCTTGAGATAAACAAGCTTTATATACCAAAATTTTCTTTGTAAGGATGCTGATCATAATAAGACTTGTTCTGCTCATATGGGGCATGAGCAAAAAAAGGGCAATGATACATCTTCTTTCTCCCTGGATTTTGGGTTTGCATGTAAGTGTCTTGAGAGCTAACCGCTCAAGCACTGATTATTCCTTGAAATCTTGCATTTATGAAATGCATAAAAACAGGAGGGGCTTTCCTTTCTCCTTTTAGAGAAGCAGCATGGAATTATGGAGAGAGTTCAGACTTACAAATCTAAGGCTCTAAGTTTAGATCATAACTCCATTACTTACTAACTGTATGTCTCTGAACCTCAATCTCTGTCTTTGTACATAGGGAACATTAATGTTTATATTGCACGACTGTTTTAAGGATCAGAAAAAATATAGGTGAATGCCTAATACAATAAAGAAGTTCAATTAATGGCAGTTGTCATTTCTATGTTGGGTTGGATCGATTTGCCTGTTAGGAAGATTTCCCTTCACCACTGTCTTTCAGAGTGACCCTGAGTGGGGACATAGCTCAACAGTAGGTCGTGGGAAGAGTGTTGGAAAAATAAATGATGAAGAGTCAAGGCTTCAGGTCTTCCTACTATGAAATACATACTCCAATGGGGGTTAAACAGTCTGGGAAACTCCAGTGTAAATGTGTCACCTCTATAATCACCTGGTAAAGTAACCCCAAGCCTGTATCAGCTGTGTAACATTAGACTTCACAGCATCTAGCTCTAGCTCCTTACTTTGCATTATTTTGGAATGATCCTGTCCCTTTTCAATCATTACTTTTTAAAGCATCACCCCTACATGGGTGTTGTAGGGGAGGGGAAGAGAGAGAGTGAGAGACCTCAGAAGACCCAGGGTTTAGATGGTAATGTTGTTTAAGCATGTGACTCTAACAAATGCACTAAACTAAGAGCAATGGCCAACACCAGTGGAAGAGAGCCAAGCCTTGCTTTCCTCACCACTGTGACCTCCTGCCACACGAGGTCCTTTGTTCAAAGGTGGTGCAATTCAATATGTGTGTTAAGAGGTCACCGAGGGGAGCCATGACGACAGGCTCCAACTATGGCAGCCTCACCTCAGACCTTACTATTTCGAGAGGCTCCTCCTCACCTGTCCCATTCATCACTCTTGCTCAAGTTTGTTTATCTCCCCGGAAGTGTGGGAGCACCAGTGAGAAACGAGCATTTCGAACTTAGGCTGCTGGAACCAGGACAGTGATATTTTTATATTACCTCACCAACTGCCAGCTCTTAATAAATGTTTCCTCATGCGGTTTTAACAATAACGCACATTTCTATTGTTAGAAATTGTTATAGTTCGATGATTTTATTCTAAAAGAAAGCTAAAATGGCAGGAGGAAAGGGGGAGAGCTAGAACAACCAGAGGATTCAAGGTGGAGGTGGGGGGAAGTGTGACCAGAGGTGTTCCTGGAAGCCACCACCGAACAATGCATGACGAAATATCACACTCCCCATCATCAGGTCATGCAAACATGCAAGTTTAAATTTTCTACAGAAGTGTGGAATTAGAAAAGATGGCAAAAGGTGGGGCATGAAGGAGGCAGCCCTTTCTCCCCAAGCAGAGTATACCTGAGGCGTCATTGAGGCTAAAGGCGATGCGTACAGGCTTATCTGCAGGTACCCTGGTGGTGCTGATCATGTGGGCACCTGAGCCTTGGCCTTCTCCTGGGTCTTCCAGCTGTGAGGACAAGAGAGAGCCATTGTCACTTTGCCCCACATCATCACTCTGAATACTGAGAGGACCCTGGAAGTTATAGGGAAAAGTTAGTAAGCATTGCCTTCTTATTTTAAAGATACTCCTAGGCCAGGCATGGTGGCTAATGCCTGTAATCCCAGTACTTTGAGAGATCAAGGTGGAGGGATCGCTTAAGGGAAGAAGTTCAAGACCAGCCTGGGCAACATAGTAAGATCCTATCTCTACAAAAAAATTTAAAAATTAGCCCTGCATAGGGGTGCACACCAGTAGTCCCAGCTACTTGAGAGGCTGAGGTGGAAGGATCCCTTGAGCCCAGGAGTTCAAAGCTGCAGTGAACTGTGATCCAGCCTGGGTGACAGAGAAAGAACCCATCTCTTTAAAAAAACAAAACAAAACAAAAAAAAAAACTTTCTCTGAGCTTTCTTTTCCTATTCACATACCTCATTTACAAAATTTTTTTCTGACTTATAAAAAAATTGCTTTTTCAATATACATCCAGAATGAATGAAACGTGGCAAAAAATCTTCACCTGCCTTACTTTTCCAGTATCCTTTCACACTGGCCAGTTCAATCCTGGCCCTTCAAAGTTATATATAGTGTTTTATTTTTAATTGAGGGGGATAAAAGGAGATATAGTCTTAATAAGGTAACATACGGTTTCAGATTAGTCTAGATTTTCATGCTCAAAAGCCTAAATTGAATCTGAATTATTGATCTGAGAATGGTAAAGAATGAATATCATGGAATCATTTAAATAGCAAATACCATTTAATTACATTATGAATATTAATACTTTAT